AGATCTCCTAATAAATGCACTATCGAATATGTGGAGTTTGAGTTCAAGTTCACCCTTTGCCATGAGTAGATCACATGATCTCTTATCCAGGTGGACGATCACACATACGGGTGGGGTGCAGGAAGTACATCTGTATTCAAGTAGCTCTGGATATTCAGGTGGACTCGGGCCGGTTCGGGCCTGGGCCCGGCCGGGTCTCGGTTCAGGAAAGGGGAGGCCCGGAACCGGTCTGGGTAACCCCCGGGTCCGGGTCGGGCCGGGCCGGGCCTCGGTTCAATTTTTTTTTTTTTTTGCCTTTTCCTAATTAACCCCTACCCCCCTCACCCCCAAACCATCTCAAATGACCCAAAATACCCAGCCCAACCCAAAAACTTAAAAAAAAATTCAAAAAAAAAAAACAGAAAGAAAAAATATATAAAATGGCCCGGACCGGGCCCGAACCGGCCGGGCCGGTTCACGTTTTGAGGGGCCCGAGCCGGACCGGAACTCCAGCGGGTTGGGCCTACCCGAACCGGTCACTGACCGGGCCACTGGGCCGGGCTAGTTCCGGGTCGGGCCACCCGGCCCGAGTCCAGGCCTAGCTCTGGATATTGGAAGGGGAGAGTCAAGCAAGGAAGGAAGGAAAGGGAAGGGGAAGGAAGGATTTAAAAAAAAATTGTGTTTGGTTGGAGGAAATAGGAGGAAACGTTTAATGAAAATATTTTCTTAATTTATCTTTATTTGATAGCATATTTAAAAAATTAGATTCATCTTTAACTATTGTGAATATTTACTCCTAAGATCATGAGTCATAATTTTTTTTTTTTACTTTTTTAATTTTATAATTGTTTATTTTTATTTTTTTGATTTTTTGATTTTGATTCATAAATGTTTAAAAGTTTTAATATTTTAATTTTTATTAATATTAATTTTTTTTAATTTTTTAATTTTTTTAATTTCTTATTTTTTTAATTTTTTAATTTTTTAATTTTTTAAATTTAATTTTTTATACCTTTTTTATATTACTCCCTCCGTTCTTTTTTATTAGTCCTTCTTTCCTTTTTGGGACGTTTTTTTATTTGTCCTCCTTTCCCTTTAAGGAAAGTTTTTGAGAAAATACCCTCACTTTTATTACTTTTACCCCACTTACTTTTTACAAAATACTTTCTCTTTCCTACTTTACCATCACTTTACTCTTCTTAATATACTCTCTTTCCTACTTTATCATTATTCTTGACTTTCCAATGAGTTGTTGGATTCCGCCGCCATAACTCCGTTCTTTTTTATTAGTCCTTCTTTCATTTTTGGGACGTTTTTTTTATTTGTCCTCCTTTCCCTTTAAGGAAAGTTTTTGAGAAAATACCCCCACTTTTATTACTTTTACCCCACTTACTTTTTACAAACTACTTTCTCTTTCCTACTTTACCATCACTTTACTCTTCTTAATATACTCTCTTTCCTACTTTATCATCACTTTACTCTTTTTAATATACCATCTTTCCTACTTTATCATTTACCCTACACACTCTATATTTACCCTACTACTTTATTATTAAAACCCGTGTCAAACCCTAAGAGGACTAATAAAAAAGAACGGAGGGAGTATAACGAATTGTTCATTCACGTAGGAGACATATAGTTTGTGGTTCAACATGTTTCCTCCAAAATACCCCGATTTTGGGGGGTTTAGAATGAGAGGAAGTGGGAGATTTTGGAAGTCTTCCACTTTCCTCCCCTTCCCTCCTATTTCCTTCAACCAAACACACACAAATCACTCACTTCCCTCCCTCCCCTCCGAAATCCTTCAACCAAACAGGGCCTTAAAGAGGATGATGAAGAGATGAAAAAGGAGGAAGTTTGTTCAAGGTTGATTTTCAATATGAGAAGTCGACAGACTTACATATATAGTTTTTGGTTCAAGTGAGAAATGTATCTAATGTGAGAAAAGATAATGAATTTCAGCTATTAGATTTCCAATTTTGCACTAAAAATAGCTTAATGGTGCAGTAAAATTTAATTTTTGCAATGTTGCATTAAAACTGTTTCATATTGTACTAAAATTTGACGATGTTGCATCAAAACAGGTTCATGTTGCACTAGACAAATGTAATACGATTTTTCACAAGTATTTACTAAATGCCACCGTGCTAGGTTGCATATTTCAGTGCAAAATGTATTTATTTTTACTGCAACGCAGTCGAACCCAATGATTGAGATTCATGTGTATTCCTCACCTAAAGACTTCTTCCTATTTGAACTTCACCCTAGATGTGTAGCCATTAGATCTTAGATAAAAAGTCTTCTTCCCATGAAAAGTAAGAATAAATCCGGTGCATCGAATCTAAGATCAAGTGACTCTAAATATGTTAGAAATGCATTAAAATAGATTAAAATGCGGTGACATTTTTGTAAATAAATAAAGGGAAAACTGTCAAATAGGTCTTCGAACTTTCATAAAAAAGTCAATTAAGTCCTTCTGTAGGAGACTGTCCAGTCGTCGCGATTTGGGGCGGTTCTCGGTGGAATTTTTTGATGAATTTTTTTGAGCATCTTATTCACCAAGTCTAGTTTACTCATACAAAATTTCAGCTAAAAATTTAATCGGGAGCGCATTCAAATTAATTCGAGAACGCAAAAATGCGCAGTTATCTTCAAGAATTAATTTGAATGTGTTCCCGATTGAATTTTTAGCTGAAATTTGGTATGAGTAAACTAGACTTGGTGAATAAGATGCTAAAAAATTTCATCAAAAAAACCCACCGGGAACTGCCCCAAATCGCGATGGCCGGGCAGAACCTCCTATAGAAGGACTTAATTGACCTTTTTATGAAAGTTTGAGGACCTATTTGACAGTTTTCCCATAAATAAAAAAAAATCTTCTTTACAAAAGTGAACTTATGGGTAAAAGTGTACCGTGGATGAGCAAAAGTGGATGACGAAAATCATCTAGGTGCAATAGTGCACTAAAACTAGTCCCCCCATGCAAACTACAAACTAATCTCGGGCGTCTGTTTGTGCAAAATAAAATGCATCCGCATGAGATGTATGGTAGGAGACTGTGGAAGACATGCATGGAATAACAATAAAACTATCAACTATCAATGGAACGGTTAGTAAGAAGGATAATATAGTCATTTGAGAAATTGAAGTGGTCGGCAAGTATATTATTTATAGAAATAATTTAATGACTAAATCCTATGATTAAAAAGATTGAGTCACATACGGAAGGCAATCCAAAAAATCGCTAACCTACCACCAAAATTTAAATCACCCATGTTTAGCAAATTAAAAAAAAAAGATGCAAGGATCATGGTTCGAATTTTTAGCCACCAACGAAGGTTGCAATAACAAATCCCATTATTCTTAATTTTGGGAATTATTCATGATGGATTGCCGACCCCGAGAGTAGCCAGAATCTGAGAGTAAGGGAGAAAACCAGTGAGAATACCAAGTAAAATAGGGTATCAACTTCAGCAGAGTAACAAGAGAATTATATTTCGGATCTCCTTCCACATGTAGGAAGGTGATATTTATACTAAAAAACAATACTTGGTGCCAAAGTAAAAAGATGTTATTCTATTGTGGTAAGGACACGTGTCACACATGCCTTACAGAATAATTAGACTAATCTAATAGTGTGTTAACACGTGTAAAGGTGATTGAAGAGATGATTTGAGATAACTGACTGATTGGAATTATATGTAACAGATTCGTACCGGAACATGCGTGTGTGTTACACATGTATTATCTGAAATATTCTTCACCTTATCCGCTTGGAGTGATCTGGCGCTTCACACAGTATTGGTGACGTGGCGGTAGCTTGTGCGGTATTTCGATTGCCAAAATGTTTTAGTCCATGCTTAAACATTCAATTTTTGTGTAAATCTGGCGCCAAAATGTTCAAGTCCATGATTAAACACGAACCAACGACCAATATCCAACTAAACCATTCAATTAGGTAGTTACCTTAATGAAAAACTAGAACAATGGACTGTCTTGCTGTTTATGTTGACCAATTATTGTGTTCTTTTTTATTTGTCCATTTGTGAAATACTGAAATCTATGCACACTAAACAGGGGCGGACCTGATGTTGTTCAAAGGTGTTCACCTGAACACCCAAAAATTTCAAATTTTTATATCAAAAACCACCCTCCGTCGTTTCTACGCAAACCTCACCTGCGTTGCAGAAGCTACTGAACACCCACAGCCGACTAACAACTCGCAGAGTCGCAACTCACTCCTCCTTCAAATCACCAGTTTGTCACAGTGTCGCTAGTCACTATAAGCTCGGTAGGCAGGGAACAGTTGACTCGGCGTTTCAGCTTCTGGCTCTTGAGTCTTGATGAGTATAGTAGCTAATGACCTCGCTGGCTTGCTCCTCACACCCGCCTCTAGAATCTGGATCCCTTCCTCTGCTCTACCAGTCCACCACCTCCAATAGTAGCCTCGTGTCCTCCTTGTCTACTAAGGCACTAATTAAAACCTAATTTTCTATACCTAATCTGAAATTCGCACCATCGATTTTCTTCTACTGCTAGCCTTTTGCTAAATGGTTAATTGAAATTTCAGATTGAGAAAACATTGGGATTTGGGTCCTAGAAAATAGAAATATTGGTTAGGTTGTTAGTGCTTTAGCCCTTATTGGTTTGATGGTGAGTTTTTTGGTTTAACTGGTTGATGTGGATTCTCCTTAATTTGTTGGTGGCAGACCTGATAGTATATTTATTTTCTTTTTTGGTGTGGCAGTGTCAACCACACAGGCTGTGTGGTTCTGTGTTTAGTTTTTTGCGAAAATGATGATTCAATTGTAACATTATTGCATTACACAAGATTGTTGTGATAGGTCAATTTTTATTTCAGTTTTGAACACCTAAAATAAAAGAGCTAGATCCGCCACTGATGTCACTAAACGTTGTTTCACCAATATACCTTTCTCACTGTATTCAATCTATCCTTTGCCAGCAGGATCATAAATGGGAGGTTGGCTTTTAATAAGGGAAATTTAGGTAAAGTATTAAAAGTTTTGATTAACTGATAGCATTAATAAATTTTATTGAATTGTGGGATTTCGTAAACATTTCCATCATTTGCAATGGAGCCAAAGATTCACTATTTTTTGACTTGAGAATGTGATGGAATAAAGCAATATGGCTCACTAAAATGTGTGTGCTTCTTTGTTATGAAGCAGCAGTGAGTTCATGCAATTCTCGACGCGATTTTCACTGTGGGTCATCCGGTAACAGTCTCTCTGTGCTTTAGTACAGGGGTAAGGTTGCGTACATCCGACCCGCTTACCCCACCGTAGGTGGAAGCCTTTGCGGCAGTGGGGTAATGATGATGATGATGTGATCTGGTCAGCCTAGAATAATAAACATGAACAGGGACAGTAACTTATTACTCCATATTTTTTTATGTATAGTATTACTTCATATGGGAGTACAAGTGTAGCATTTAATCTTACCTTTCAATTGAAATGCAGGTTCATCATTTTAACCAATGATGCTTTCAGTGCATAACAACTAGATTTGCTCCAAATCTTTCAGGAAGCTGCAATAGATTCACAACTTGAAATGACGGGGGAGACGGCCAGATTCACTTAGCAGTCTCAAAATCTCTCTGGCAAACTGTTGATTGCCAGTGAGCAAAAGTCCGTTCAGAACACGATTGAACGTGAACCTTCTTGGCATAAATCCTCTACCAACCATTTCCACTATCAACCTGCCAGCAACGAGTAAATCATCTGATTTCTTTCTCCCAAACATAGAGCTGATCAAGACATTGTACGTATCCAGATTGGGTAAGCAGTAATCGACACAATTCATTCTGTCAAATACCACAAGAGCCTTCTCAATTTCTCCTTGGTCGCAATAATAGCGGACGATGACATTGTAGGTCTGAATATTCGGTTCGCACTTATGGTCATCCCTCATTTTATCCATATACTGAACAGCCTCATTCATTCTCCCCCTATGACACAACCCCCTAATTACTGAATTATAAGTCATTGTGTTTGGGACATAACCTTTCCTCAACATCTCCTCAAATACTGAAATAGCATTTTCCACAGAATCCTTCTTGCACAGCACTTGAATGAATGCATTGTAAGTTGAAATAGAAGGAAGTATACCATCAGTTCCAACCATCTCATTAAACATCTTGCGAGCTTTATCAATCTCTCCAACAACTCCTAACCCATGAACCAAAGTGGTATAAGTCACAACATCAATCTCACACTTCCTCTTCTTCATTTGCAAGAAAAATTCCCAAGCTTCTTTAATCTGACCAGCCCGAAAAAATCCTTTGAGCAGTATGTTATATGTGGTTACGGTGGGAGTCAAGCCTCTCCATACCATTTCCTTGAGAATGTCTTGAGCTTTAGGGGTTTGTTTGATTAAACAAAATCCATTTGCAAGTGTGTTATATGTGACAATATCAGCTCTAAATCTACTACCTCGAAGCATCTTCAAAAGCCTATAGGCCATCTCAGCCCGCCCGGATTTGCAAAGAACATCGAGAAAAGTATTGAAAGAATTTGAATCGTGGGGGCAACCATGATTATGCATAGACAAGAAAACCTTCAACGCTTTATCAGGATTGCCGGCAGAAACGTACCTCTCGGTGATGATAGCAAAGGTCTTTGGTCGAGGACCGAGTCTGCGGGATCGCATCCGGGCTACGAGCTTCCAAAGGGTGCGGTAATCGCGCATCCGGGCGGCGATGTCAATGGCGTGGTCAAATGCGGCGGCGGGGTGAGCGTAAGAGGGGGTGGCGATCGAGGTGGTCGAAGAATTGGAGAGCCTTGGGTCCGTGGTTCCAGAGGCGCTTGAGGATGGATAGGACGAGGTCTGGGGTCCATTGCGTTGAAGACAGGGACCTTTGGGTCTTCTTGGAGGATGCGGTGGGAGAGAGTGAGGGCGTCCAATGCTTGGGTGGAAGGCGGGTAGCTGGAGTGGGAGACAGGCGGTGGTGTGGAGGCGGCGGGGGCAATGAAAAGCGCTGCGTGTGGACAGGTTTGGGGATTGTGCTTTGAACTCCGATCAACATCCAATTCATTCATTCACAACTTCCTCAACTTCCTAGTGATTCGTTTTCATAGAAAGAACAGAAACACACCATGTGTAGTAACGAGTAACTAGTGAGTGTGGATCACTCTAAAAAAACAGTAAGCGTGGAGGAAAACCCTCATTGATCTGCGTCAAAAGGTCTCTTCTTCTTTTTTTTTTTTTTGAAATGAAAGTAACGAAAATATGGGGGGTGTTTGGATCTGATTCTCAAAACTGATTCTGCTCCTTCAGGGAGTAGAAGCAGAAGCTGGAGTGTTTGGGTGAAATTCCAGAAGCACTTCTGGAGCTCTTAATTTACTCTCAGAATCAGTTTTTTTAGAAGCTGGGGGTACCAGCTTCTGAAAACTGATTCTGATTCTGTTTCTGCTTTTAAAAAAGAAGCAGAAGCAGAATCAGTTCCAAACACCCCCATGTTGGAAAAGGATCCAAATATGTTGAAAGGATCTAAATATGTTGAAGTATGAAGGAAATATATTTGCTCTCACACTAGGGCTGCACATCGGGCGGGTTGGGTTGGATTTGCTATATTTCTTGGGCCTACCCGATTT